AATTCTTGAGTAGCTGCAGACTTGGCTTCTCCTCAAGAAGGGCTCAGCTCCGTGAGTGAGTGAGTGAGTGAGTGAGTGAGTGAGTGAGTGAGTGAGTGAGTGAGTGAGTGAATGAGTGAGCGATACAAGTCATGAATATACCCCTGGAATATAACAACAAGATTGCAATACTGACTTCATAATATGAAACATTACATGAATAGTTTTTAACCATACTTTATTGTATAACTTTCGTTTTATAATAATTTTACAATTTTATTGTATTTTTATATCTTGTATTATTATAGTGTAACATGGTTACATTGTTGTTACATGGTTGTCACATTGAAATGCAGTTCAATAGTGTGTGAGTGCAGTAACCTTGTATTATTATAGTGTAACACAGTTGTCAAGCATCCAGCTCTACTGTCACACTGAAATGCAGTTCAATAGTGTGTGAGTGCAGTAACCTTGTATTATTATAGTGTAACACAGTTGTCAAGCATCCAGCTCTACTGTCACACTGAAATGCAGTTCAATAGTGTGTGAGTGCAGTAACCTTGTATTTGCCCAATAATGGCTCTAAAAGCTGAAACATGTAGCTAAGGTGATGTTGACCTAGACCGTTTCATTGTTGTGTTGCGATGAATCCCAATAAAGAATTGTATATAATAACACAACAGGATGCACCCAATGAAAACTGATATGAACCACTGAGATTTGAGAATCACATGGAAGTGGTTATTAAGATGGTCTTCTAGCATGTGGCACCATGTAATATGACAGACAAGTACCAAATTTTTGGAGCAATACTGGTTCCTATCCACATATCATATAACATCACATCACAAAAGTCCATAGTATTACAAAACTATTCTCTGTAAAAATACATAAATGTCTCATTAATCATATTTCAATTTTCTTAAAACCTCTGTTGCAGATACCTTGCAAGGGGAAATGTAGAAACAGTGGTACTATTATCAAAATTTGTCACTGAAATTAATAATGGATTCTCAGACCAGGTTGAATAGCATAGCATACTCACCGCATCACAGTTCCAAACTGGCCCACGACATAACGAGATAATTGACTCATTCTGTACGCGGTTCATCCATATTACAGCTACCTGATGATGTGATAGCCATGTTACTGCTGTGAAGTAGTGGTCCCTTAAAAAAAGTTTCAAAGACAGTGATACTCTTTGAGGGATTATGGGGCACTTTTTTGGATTGTGATCTTATCGTTTATAGTACCATGTAGTCTGGTAGGTGGTTACTATTCTTTTAGAGGAATATCCTACCTCGATCTTGAGGGTATGTTATATATACGAAGGGTTGTGGGGCTAGGCCATGGATAACTACATGCCTGGCCAAACAGAGTGGCAGAGGGCCCTGAGGGGGCTATTGGGAATCGGGAACCAGAGATCGTGAAAAGGCAACTACTTAAGGACAAAAGACCATGAAAAGGGCAATAAAAAATCAATTCTTAAAAAACAGATTTATGGTTTAAGTGTTAGGAACAGATAATTGCCGTTATCACATTGCCCATTGTTAATTTTTTATCCAATTAACTTATTCAAACAATTTTAAGTCTCATATAGAGGAATAGTATGAAATATAAAGAAAACCTGCAAGTCCAATTTAAAGAAGTAGGCGTGGAGATGCAAAGTGTCCATATTTATTTTTCTATATGAGAATAGCACAAGGTGTCATTAAGTACACCATATGCGAAGTCTGATCTTGGCATACATTTCAGACATACAAATAAGCAGAGACAACAACTAAAATCCTGATTACATAAATTATTTGTTCTTATAAGGTTAATATTTAGGTGAGAAAGATTCTGAACCAGAAATATTTGTGTTAAAACAAACATGTCTATAATTCTACATGGGCATACTGGTAGTGAACAATAGTTTTACGTGAAACTACAGAGAATTTATTTTTTTACTTTGTTGACCAGTTTGAGGCTCTTCACTTCACGGCAACCAGAGCGCTACTTGCCACTGGGCGCATACAAACTTTGCAAATGAATCAAAATGCCAGATGGCCTATAACGTATGGAATGAAGGGAAGTACTTAACTTGTGAACTGCTTAACGGTATTATGTTTCATGTGAGCAGGCAGTTTATGTGTGGGAGTTTGTTTATGATTTGCTGACAGTAGGCAGCAGTTGTCAGCTCCATTAGCTATTTCTTCTCAGTTGCAGTTATTGAGCAGTGCGGTATATCATGATGCAGTATATTTTAGAGCAGTGTTTCTCAACCTTCTTAAGCCAAAGGACCAGTAAAATGTCTGAAAAAATACTACGGACCACTAAGTTATGTAGGCCTATTTTTTTAAACCTATGTGGTATTACCAACATTTGGGACATTCTGTGCCATTTATAGCATAATAAATCTAAAAGTATGTTTTGAATACATATGGAATCATACACTTAACTGCATATCACTAAGCAGTTAAAATAAGTATTGAGCATGTTCATTGGAACATGCTCACCACGACAAGTTCTCTTTCCTTTTCTATATGTAAACCACAAAATGTACTTATTATCCACACTTAATGGATAGATTGTATAATTATTGGAGTTAAAAAAAAATGGAATCATAATTAATTAAACTGAAAGTAAACTATTAAAAGTGAATCATCTTTGAACAAAGTTTTAAGTTTTATTAAACAAATAAAAAATATGATATAATTAATTTTACTTGCTTCTTTGATTAATTTGTTTTGGTTGGATATTTTTTAATTTAATTTAATTTAATTTAATTTAATTTAAGTCTGCTTGTGGACCACCTGTTCCATCATCGCGGACCACAGGTTGATAAACTCTGCTTTAGAGCAAAGTTTATTTTTATATGATACCTATGAGAAATACAAATCTGCTACAAAATGTCAGCGAAAATTTTGACATAAATTTCACGATAAAAGAGTTCCCAGTAAACAATTCACAATTTGATGAATAAATTTAGTATAATGGGATTCTTAATGGACAAAAAACAAAAAAGATAAGCACTGTGTACTTGCTAAGGAGAAGTTAGATGGCATAGGGGTAAAACTTGAACATACACCGAGAAAATCACTGAAACATCTGGCTCAAGAGACTGGAGTGTTAAAGCCTAGTGCCTAGATGAATACTTCAATGTAAATAGAGAATGATGTAAAATTAAGTTATATTAATTTTTAAGCTAAAATTGCCTGTACTTATGTATGTAACCTTTTGACTTGTTCTGTATCCAAAGGTGCTACTAACCTGCTTAGGATTTATAGAATGTAAATAAATTCAATTCAATTCAATTCAAGAATGACAACACAATTGTTGAAGCTTAGACCCTATAAAACGACAGTAATACAGACTTTGCAGCTGCGTAATCCAGCTAGCAGGGTTCGTTTTTGTAGTTGGTTTCTACAGTCTGTCGTTGAAAGAGAGATTGATCTGCAATTGACATTCTTTTCTGATGAAGCGTGGTTTCACTTGCAAGTATATATAAATATGCAAAATAAGCACTACTGTAGTTCACAAAATCCACATCTTTATGATATCAACTAAGAAGTCCTTGTTTTTCCTCTGTATTCTGTCTAAGTAAAATTTTCAATGAGTGGTATTCTTTGGATATCTCAAGTCTGTGCTTACTGTAGTAATCTGTGACACACCCTGTATATATGTATATCCTTCATCATATGTAACTATGTGAACATATCTGCCACTTGTGGAGACTTTTATCTGCTTTTACTTTGGATCAAAACTAAAATCCACATCATTTCATATATTCAAGATTTCCATAAGTACCATACTCAATTAAAACTATGAGAATTCTTTTATAGAGAGTTTTCTTCTCTAAATCTTGAAACAGCCTTCTGCTTCTCTTCAACTGTAGAACTCAATCCTCTGATAATATCTACTGACCTATGAGTATAGTATGGTAACACAAATCCCATAACATGCTTTCTTACTGTCCTACATAAAGAATGATAAAGGGAAAAATTACAGCATTCCATTTCAGATTCTACAAATTAGCGTTACACTTACCACTCTGACTCTGAGTTGGCTTTGAGAACCAGTGGTGGCTTGAGATCTACTGGATATAGCTGCAAAGGGCGGCTCAGATCTACAGCCCACAGAGTGACTGCTGGGTTCCTTGTTCCAGCCTGCAACAAAAGCAAGCAAAACGATATGTTGCAAAACTTATGTTTATTGTCTGTCAGTTTATAAGTTTTGCTGTATCGGTTACTCAGGTTAATTGGCATTATTGAATTAATGGAAGAGTGAAGAAATCTGTTAAGAAAATTAAACTTGACTGATGCAGTAGGTAGCAGAAACTGTAGGTTCAACATCACTAATAAAAAGGACATTAGTAAACCAAACCCTGAGCCAATTCCATCCACCTCCCATCCTCACAAAACCAAACCAAACTTAATTTAGATTAATGTAAAATATCCAAACTAAACTTGAAAAACTCTGTGATTTTAGTCCACAAGTGAACTATACCGTCCGAGCGACCGCTGTTTGTCGGCTAAGTTTAATGCCAACTTTTGCATATAAAGGGTGTCACGTGGTCAGCGCAACAAATCCCCCACAGCCGTAATTCTTGGTTTTCTAGACTGGAGCCGCTACTTCCTTGAAATAGCTCCTCAATTAACTTCACAAGGGTGAAGGGACCCCGTTCCAGACCCACTAATTATCAGAAAAAATCTGATAGCGCCGGGAGTCGAACCCAGATATCTGGATATGTAGCCAGGAACGCTGACCACTAGACCACAGAGGCAGTCCCAACTAAACTTACCACATTGTAACGCCATCCAGCACTATGGAACACAATGTCGCCAAACACACCTTAACTTTGTCATTTGTATACATTTTATGTTACTACAACATCTTTCTTTGAGTTACAGTGTATATTAATCTAGTGACCACTCCATCTATCAGGTGCTTTATATAACTAAATCTAAGGCGGTATTCTCATATTATGTATTTCTTTTTGCATTGTTATGTTCACACACCTTGTATATGGGTACCTACTTTCCTGTATTAACAAACCAACCATATAAACATTTCTGCTGCAGTGGAAAATTTTATCCCCTTTAGACTGAATAAAAATCCAAACACAAAATTCTGATTAAATAAATCACAGTTAACATGGCCCTCCTGTAATTAAACAATTGCACCAATATGAATAATTTAGTCAGAATTTTAAGTTTACCTTTGCACTCTCTTCATTTAAAGAAAGAGAACGTTTTATTTCTGTGTTAATTATAATATAAGTATTTACCAGGCAGTATTTTCTCCTTATGTTGTGAACAGTGATTCTTCTTTCCATGCTAGCAGCAAAGAGCATATGACATGTTTCTCAACAATCGAATTGTAAAGGTAGTTCTTATTCATGTTGACTTTAAGGAAAGGGTCAACAGAGATTTGTGATATCAATTATGAATACTATAACACAGCTGCAATATTTCCTTTTTTAAATACCACAATAGTATTAATAAAATGAAAAGTACTTCACAGCAATGTATTTGGATTACCTTGGGATACCGCAACATGCGTATCTGAGGGTAACGTAACCGCTCCTGGATGCGGCCATACCATGGATACTTGAGCTCTCCCACTAGGGAGTCATTGAAAGAGGCATAGAGCAGAAAATGAGCATCAGGTGAAAACCATAGCGCGTTTGGAGATTTGAGAATCTCCTCTGTAACAAGCAAGAACCAAGTATTCACAACCTGCAGGCAGTATCTGTGAAGAGATCTTCATCTTTCTGTTCGCTAATGAGCAGAACAGCAACAAAGTGAATGGAATTATAAGAAACCACAAAGCATCAAGAACGAAAGGATGTAGCATTAAAGTCTCTAAGAACAGAGAAAAACTATACAACTACATTCACATTTCTTGAAGTAGAATATGTTGTGTGCTTTCATCTTTCCCTTGTAGAATTTCTATTATAACCCAGGAGTTACACTCAATGTTTCAAGAGCGATATTATATAGAAAATTTCCCTGCCATATCATGTCTCACCCCTAACTGCTGAAAGAATAAATCAACTCCAACATTCTTGGTTTCCAGTGCCTCTAGAATTTAATCAGGAAATTATATCATTATTCTTATAGCTCTACAGCTTTTGTTGGGCCTTGGCCACTTTTTCATTTTCTTGGTTCGATACACAGTTGATATGACTCCTTGGACAGGGGATGAGCCTGTCACAAGACCTCCACCTACACACAGAATAATACAAACATCCATGCCTTGAAGGGGATTCGAACCAATGATTCCAGCCTTCGAGTTAGCGAAGACTGTTCTCAATACTAGCAACTTTTCTTCCACAGGGGATACAGCACCCAAATTATACTCTAATTGCAGAAAAGTGAGATCTGCATTAAAGAAGTTTCAGATCTATTGCTGTATTCCATCTATTTAAATATTACATTGAAATTATGAAATTCAAACTGACAGAAAGCCAACATTTGCATTACAGCCGGAATAAATTATGTTAATATTAATTACATTTTCAACTATCTAGATTTAGAGTCATTTGATACAGAAAACACTTTATATGATATTTATGATAGAAAATGAGAACTGTAAACACTTTCTGAGCCAGAGAACAAGAAAAGAAGGATTACTTTGGTTTCTAAGCATAGAGAGGAGGGTAATATTAAAATTGGTCTTAAAGTAAATGGTATAAATATGTGGACAGATCCATCTAGCTCAGAATAGGATACAATGATATACACGGGGTAATTAACGTTTTGGTTCTTTAAAAGGCTAACTAGGCCTGTATTTTGACCAGAGAAATGACTATCAGCTTCTGAAGAAGGCGACTGATCCTTATAATTAGTTAATGTCTCCATTATTTGTGCATATTCAGGAACGGAATACAGGTTAAAATATCCATCTAAACCAGCTGTATATTGTGAGCTACGAGTATAATGTGAAGAAAGAATACATTACAGACAGTGGGCAACAAAGATTATACAGTGCTAGTGACATGATGTTTAATAAATATGGAGCAGATGGTGGAATAGGAACTGGTATGGGAAACCTAAACACTCAGAGAAAACCTGCCCCCAGTGCTACTTCTCTCACCACAAATACCACATAACCTGACCTGGGATCAAGCCCAGGTCACAGTGAACAGAGATTGCTACTGAGTCATAACCTCTAATGTTGTATTGTAGTGGACCAAATAATGATCACTGGAACTTTCGATATGTGAACAGTACGAGGACGTTTCAACGTCAGATCATTAAGAATATGTAGCAAATAATAAAAGAGCTCGCAAAATTCACAGCATCAATTAGGGAACTTCTATTTAAAATATAAAATAGCAGAATGAATACAGAAAAAAAAAATCGATCTTGTAAAACTTGTCAAGTTAATGTATACAAGCATGAAAGCTTTGGTGAGGTTAGAGATTATGAGCTGGTTTACTACTTTCCTATTAAACATACTTTTGTTGTGTTAGAAAGTTTCAATACGGTAATGACGCGAAGCTTTTTTTGTTGTGAGATATTTGTATCGAAATATGAAATATTTTACGATGGGGTTCAAATAAATTTTACTGCTTAATAACGCAAAGGAAGAAAAATCTATACATTCTGTTTCGATATACAAATAGCACAAACTGCATACGGAAGTCAGTAATGATGTTGAAAGTACAGAAAGATGGCTGCTCTTAAACGGACTACGTATGCCAGTATCGTACTGTTCCATCAAGGAAAATCGAAGTCGTCATATTATCGGTAGAATAGATAGAACTTCTGCTTTGTTTTGAGGAAGTCCCAAGTTCAAATCTTGGCTGAGGATTTTCGTGATCTTCTTCAGTCCCTTCGGTACTGTATACATTGAATTAGGTCTCAACCGCTTCCTTCTAAATCCTTTCAATCCACAGTTCACTAATCATTTGACGTTTATACTGTATTTTCGGCCCTTTAAATTTTTCATTAAATAAAAAAGATAATGGAATATATTAGGATTTTAATGAGTTCCTAATTTTGTCATTACGATCTTTCTTGAATTTATGGAATATAACTAGAGCGAACACATTTTTAATGTGCTGAGTTAAGGAGAGTTGAAGTTATACAGCAATATATTGAGTAATATTTACTAAAGACTTCTGAATAATTATTGTTTTTCTATATTAAAGAATTAATATCAGTTCTAGGTTGACTCACGTTTCTTTCTTACAATATTTCAACAAAGCTCAACGAAACTGGAAGACCTAGTCATAGGTGGGAGAATAATATTAAAATAAATCTTAGATAGGGTGCTGTAGATTGGATTGATCTGGCTCAGAATTGGGACTGATGGAGGGTTCTTGTGAACACGGTAAAGGCCTTCTGGGTTCCATAAACTGTTGGGAATATTTTGAATAGCTGAGCGACTGGCGGTTTCTCAAGGAGGACTCGAAGAAATAAAAGCGCCTGTAAGTTGATAGACCCGCATGACAGATGTGACGGAGAAGTTGCCGATAGAGCCCGGCGACGCGTGAAAACCATAAAAGTGCTTGCTTTTAAAGTTTCAGCAGCATCAGATATTACTTTTTTTTTCTTGGCTCTACAGCCCCAGTGGGCCTAGGCCTACCTCCACGAACTTCTCCGTTCACTTCGGCTTTTCTAGATCTTACACATTCGGTAGGACTCCTTGGGTGGGTGATCAGCTCCTCGCAAGGCCTCTACTTGTACACAAACACAGAAAAACGCGCACACACAAACTAAACATCCATGTCCTGAATGGGACTCGAACCCACGATCCCGGCTTCCGAGCGAGCGAAGACAGTGCATGCCTTAGACCGCTCGGCTACCGTGACCGGCTCAGATATTACTTACGTGGTTTAAATGTAATGATTTCATGTTGCAGAGAAGAGGAAATGAAAGTGCGGGGTCACGTGTATCACCGGAACTTCATTTGCGTTAGTTCTGTAAGTTACAAGCTTCACAGTGGTCCATTTCAGATTGATATCAATTCTTGACTCTCGTATTCCTTAGATTAGTATGTACTTACATATGTTCAAACCTGTAAGTTGAGGCACTCTGTATTTCCAGTAGAAAATGTAACCAAATCTCATGTCACACTGTATCTGATATGTTCACTTTCACTCCTGTACTCTGCCCCAAGTTAAGACAGAAACCTGTGTGTTGTTAACCAGATGACATGTTGAACAATGTGTACAGAGGTATTCTTGAGAAGCTGGCAGTCGCTTAGCCACTACAGAAATTCCCCACATTTTGTGGAATTCGACGTTTCATTAACTCCCCTCTCATCAATACATTTTTAAACCGAACAAGTTATCACGGCAGATAATGCTTCTGGCTTTTATTCGGTAGCAGTCTGGTTCGAATCTCTGCCTGAACACTGATTAACCCGGCTCAGAATTTTTGCTTTTTTTTCCTCAGTTTCCAAAAGCAAACGCCAGAAACAAGGCATTATATTAGGCGAAGAACGCCTCCCGCGTCTCTCCCAGCTCATTCAGTTCATCCGATGATATACATTTTGAGTTAATGAAAAGTAAAAAAGTAAACAAAAAAAGTAAAGATATCCTGTAACAGGCCGTGGAGGTCCGTAGAGTTGTGAGATATTGAGGTTCCCACATTTTCTAGACAATCGGCTGATAGATGGCGTTAAGGTTGTCAGCCTTACGCGTCGGCCTCCCCTTACCCCCAACAACATTCCAAGAATATTCCTGGTACTCATTTCTGTTAGAGGCTGAGTCGACCCCAAGGCCATAGTGCAGCTGGAAGGATTAGGTAAATTGAAAAAAATCCAATGACCTCATCGGGATTTGATCCCGCGACCTTCCGGCTTGTAGCATAGTGCCTCAACCAACTATGCTACCAAGTGACACCGAGTTAATGAAAGCGTTGACAAATAAACAACAAAATTTTAACTAATATATTTTTTCATGCAGAACTGCTTGTTTATTACTTGTTAATTCTATCAGTTACATGTGTGATATTCACACACAAAATCTCTCAGGAATTTAAATCTTATTTACATGTAATCGACTGAGGCTGTTAGGAATAGCAGAATGTACCAAAGAGGTACACTTTCTTATCTTACCCTCATACAGCCAGTCGGGAACACCATTGAAGACGACACCTGGTTGTCCCGTGTTGGTAATACGATAGACGTGGGAAGTCAACGCGCTGGTTTTGTAGTAGATGTCGTTACGGTAGACAAAGGCCAGGGCGTTTCCCCTGGGCGCCCACACGACGTCCTGGAGAAGCGGGTGGCTCTCCGCGTCATTGCCCCCCAGGTTCAACTCAAACTTTCTCCTGGACACAAAAGTTCATAGCAGTGAATCAAATGAACGTTGTATTAGTGTTTATGACCGTGTAGGTAAATAAAGCGCACACAATTGACCGAGAGAAAGACAAGACTTCCAAATAACAGAATAAAAATTTATAGCAAAACCGACTTACTATCCGAGTAATATTGCATCCTGGTAATAAAAATACTAAATTTCCATTCATTTCTCTCCTGAGACACTCTGATTCAGTTTACAATACAAGAACTTATTTGTATAAGTTTCAGTACTGTAATTATACTTGTCAGTCTTTCATGCTTTCCAAAAATTAAGTATGCGTTTCTTGTCTCTACCACTGAACCTATTTTCAGAATACACTAAAACAGATTGAACTAGGCACTCCAATATGCCCTATGTTTTGTATAAAGCTCATAGTTTTGTTTTTAAATAGGTAGAATAAGACGCACATGCGCATATGCACAGCCTGCTCATCATTTAGGAGGCATTAGGCTCGTTCTCTGTTCAAAGCAGAATATCGTAATTTTCATGACAATGAAAATTTATCAAGGCCAGTTCCTCCCACATTCTTCCTAACTCATAACACATAACCACCGAACAATAATGAACATAGGCATCCTATGCTTTAGTATTGTGACATGTCGACCCCTACCTACCCAGCGGTACGTGGCGGTAACGTAACGCTCGCGTTACTACGGTAATAGGCGAGTTCCCGCCCCGCCACTCCCCTCCGCGGTTACGTCACCGAGGGATATCGCGGTCGCTAGGCAACGCGAATCAACAGCGGCGACGTTACGATAGTAACAGCGGTGACCTCCGCTGGCGTTACATAGCAACACAGCGCCAGGCAAAAAGGGTGCCTATTACGTGGCCGTTTTCCCGTATTGTCCGATCGAGGCTACATACGGAGCAGCGAAGGCTATTCACAGTCAGTTCTAGTGTGGCTACCGCAGAGTTGTACTGAGACAGTCAGCGAGTCCTGGAGCTACCGTCGAGTTAGCCAGCAGCTAGTCAGTTGTATTGTGGCATTTTTCAGTGTACTAATTGTGATACTGCGGATAGCAGTAATCGTCAGATTGTAATCCGGGTGATTGTAAGAGCGAGTGTGAAATAAAATTCGCTATATCGAATACATCGAGAATTTATTTGTCGCGATATACGCCCGATACGCGACAGTATTTTCATCTGGCAGTCAGGATATTCTAAACTTAATGATACACAGTTCCTGAATTTCATCTGCACCTATTTCACCACGAACCTAATTATTAATTAATTCGCATAGTGGGGGTGGAGTCCAGCTTAGTCCACTCAGCACGTCGGCCACTGATTGGCCTATTGTACCTACCCCGGTTGATTATGATGATGGAGGATTTGGTGGAATGAAGATTGATAGGGGAAACCGAAGTTCTCGGAGAAAACCTGCCCCAGCGCCACTTTGTCCACCATAAATCCCAATTGACCAAACACGGGCTCGAACCCGGGCCGCCATGGTTGGAAGCCAGCGACTAACCGCTTGAGCTATGGCGCGGCCTAACCTAATTATTCAATTGTTATTGTTGTTCCAGGTGATTTTTTTTCTCACAAATACGATTTAAGTTATAGATGCTTATAAGTTGCTGTTTCATTACGACGCAGTGAATGATTTCGATATTATGGCACTTCCGTATGTTTACTTGTGTTTAGCATTTCGACACCGAGCATAACAACAAAAGTAATTACTCGTAATTAAATAATACGCGCAGATAAATACTTTTGTAAGTTCTGTTAAGTCTTGTTTCTCCTATTTCAAAACAATGTTTCAAACGTATAAAACTACACGCAATTTCAGCTTTTGTTTTATATAGGTAGAAACTGGTTTCTCTCCCTAAGAGAAAATAAGTTGAGAGCGCTTGAGAACAGAGAACACTTGGGTCTGAAATGAAGTATGATTACGTACCAAGAGCAAACTGAATAACGATAACCTTCACAACTAATTCATTGTCAAAGTCAAAGTCAAAGTCACAGTGCGACTGACGGTCGGTCAGTCAGTCAGTCTGTCTGCCTTGGTGTCGAGCTCCGGCTGGGGCTCATGATCAGATGCTGCTTCTTGTATGAGAGTTACTGTCCTGTCCATGTGGGGCACCTTCTAAGCTCAGTAGAGCAGACTATGCCCAAACACAATTCATTGGTCTAACTGTCCCGCTTATAACATCTATGCATGGACCGAACAGAAAACCTAGTCCCTCTGTTGCTGTTTCCAATTGTTGCCGTGCGAATATGTTTGTTTGCGAAGCAGTTACTCAGTAGAGGCTGCTGTGTTTTTGCTTATCTCGCTATCGTTGTCAAGTAATAGCTTTACAAGCCAAAGTATTTTAACTGGCCGACCTACTTATTCCTCTTGCAGCAGAATTGAGATACGTATTTTATTTTTGCCGTACCACACAAATACACGTTTCTATCTTCTTTATTCTGAAAACACGACAGTACTCTGGTATCGGTACTGTTTTGCACTAGACAGGATTTGAAATATAGTATCGTGTGGGTAACGAAGCGGAAGTAGATCCATGGATGGATCGCTGTGGTACAGGAGCTTCTCCATATCTGTCGCTGCCTCTACCGCAAATCGCGTAGCGTTTGTCCTCTGTTGGATTAGAAACACGCTAAATAATATGTTGGAACGAATGGTACAACTGACACCAACAGGTGGAACGTATTCTCCCAAAATTAAACTCGTTTTATATCCCTCCCAGCTCCAGTAATAATAACATGCTTTAAACATTATATAAAGCATAGATTTTTCACAACAATTCACGTCACTAGAGATTATTGATACTGTAGATGAGATCTGACGTTTTACTTATAATTTATGTGACAAATAAGGGACCAAACATAATGAAAGCAGGTTCTTTCCCTCTATCTGTATCAGCGAGGATTTCATTTCCTTTGCGTCCATAACATCAACATTACTGGATCTATTCGCATACTACGTAAATTCGACGTAGATTACAGAATTGAAACTCCACATACAAAGTAATGATCTGCCGGGTTATGTCTGGTCACCTACTTGAAATTTTCTTTTAATTAGAATTTTAAGGGCTATTATGAAAATATAACCTACAAAAAGAATTTTGACATACATTGGCTTCCACTTCTTCATACCGTATTGCTTATTTATTTAAGCACAGGGACAACTTCGCCTTTTTACCTTATTGGCTTATATACTATATAGACATAAACATATATTTCACCGCTCGAATTTTTTATGTATGTTTATTTCTCCTTTTCAAAAAGTCTGATTTATAGTATAATTTGAGCCACATACGCTATTTTTTTAAGTTTATCATTAAAAATAATTCGCATATGATTTTGTTGCAGCTTGGAATTACAAACCATCCAGTGTAAACAAGATTAATAAATATACAAATAGGATTATTTATATTAAACTAGCTTACATACGACGGCTTGTCATTCCAAGATTAATACAAGCGTAACGGCGAAGATATTTCTTGTTAAGATATTTTTCAACAATATCAACAGTGGATAACACGTCATATGATTTCAAAGTTATCCGAAGATAAATCAGCATTCTGTAGTCTATAACCCAATAGTAAACTAACTCTGTACTACCTACCGTGGTGTCACCTTGCGGCCTGTATTGACACCATTTGATCTCACCTCGTGTAGTTCGCTGCCATGGTTGAGCTATATTCTGTGCTTCTTTGTGAACACTATAATATAGGTTGCTATTGTGATTGTGATTTGGCAGCTGTGCTCTAAACGACCAAATTGGTTTACTTGGCACACATGCTGCCAATTCCTATCACGAACCAATTAAATCTTGTTGCTCAAACAACGCATCCTTCCGTCGTTCTGGATTCTAATCCAAGGACAAGCTGACTTCAAAGTGCACGTGTCTTACAATAGAAAGAAGAAAGTTGCCTCAGTGGGTGTAAAGGAGATGCTATGCTTCTTGGACATCGTTACGACTAAAAAGGAAGAGAAGGAAACTTCAGTTTAAAATGCAGAGCTGTTCCCAATGCGTTTAAGTGCTAAACGAAATAACAACCTTCTCGATTTCCTTACACTTAGATACGTTAAATTTATCAAAGGAATTCTACAGAAAATAAGAGAAAAATATAAAATTTGACTCGAACAGAGAAAACTAAAGGATAAAGGAATCAACAATAAATCATAGTTGAAGACAGATTCAAAAAGGGAAATTTTCCAATAAGAATCTATTCTCTTTGGTCTTCTTCAATGTCGGCTGGATAAAAATTAATTAAATAATATACATGAATGTTCCCCAAGGTTTTATACAGGTCTAGTTATTTCGTCTTCCCAGAGAAATGTCTATAAAACGATACTTCATCTCCACAATTACGTAAAGATTTAATCTGCAGGAACCTACAAATTGTTACTTTAAACCACGAAGAAATATCAGGGTAATATGACTTCCATCGGCGTTAAACTTCAGAGAGAAGAAGGCCAGAAGTGACCAGCTTGAAGGCGACATATCATATCACTGTATCACCGAAAGTAATTAATAAACCATGAAAGAGGACGATATTTTTTTTATAAAAAGTTCTCTTCAATGTAAAGCTATTCTTTTATTTATATTTCGGCTTCAAACTCTGATCTTCCTGATTAGAAGTCCGAAGATCCAGGCTCAAGGAAAAACATTTTAAAAGTATCCTATAAGCGATGAATCTACTGTATTGATGTGACTTATTCTGAAACAAATTAAAGTTGACTAAAACTAAGAACATATGCTTTTCTGCACTGACCACTGTTCGTGAGAGCAAAATTTGTTTTATTAGTGCATAATCCGAATTCATATTTCCTGGTAGCTCATGTGGCATCGCAGTTTCAGCATGGCTTACACGCCTTCTGCTCTCACTGGAAGATTGTTAGATTGGCGCTGGGGTCTAAGCACCGTACGGATTGGGGCAGTGTTACTGTCGCTTCGGAGGAATATGCTGCTTCCATCTTTAGGGTCGAAATATCGATATATACTGTATCCTGCTAGCAAAACTGCTCTTATTTGTTCGAAAGCACTACAGAATAAGAACTCCGTTAATTGCAGAAAATTTCGGGACGCAAATAAAATGACCTAAACTAATAACACAATTTGATGTCAACATTGACGTTCCCGATGATGATATGGAATTTTTTCTCTGTTGTCATCCTGAGTTATAGGCCTGTGATGCTGACCAGATCTTTGTAAACCGAACGTAGAGAGCAAGAAAGCTACAATCTATAATTATTGCAGTATGGAATGTGGTGCCGTATAATTCTGTATATGTAGACATGCGCATATAATCGGGCGAAATTTCTGCTTTCATCTTCAGGGCAGAGGAATAAATTGGGAGGGAAAATGTTTAATATAGTAAAGAGAAGATTGGAACTATAAACGAGCCAATGGGGGCCCATAAAAGGATTGTTTCCTTAACGGGAAAAATGAGGTGCAAATATACACAACGTTTGTAAGTTTAGGTGTAAAATTAAATGTCGTTGAAACAACATTCGTTCACCAGAAGATAAGACAAACAGCACATATATTTGAAACACACACTGCCAGTCGACAAGGAATGGTTCTTCTTGCTGGCGACTGGACATCGGGTCTAATAACTTCTCACAGAAAGAAAATGGCATGTTAACAGGATGAAGAACTTCTTGAATGCCCGGGTAACTAATTATGTTCTCAAGTGGGCCTCTGCTCCTTTGGGTTAATATTATTAGCGTGATGTTTCCCTTGAAAAGCTTATAATACATCATTTAAAATTATTTCGTCAATAAACAACAGTACACTAAATAAACGTTGCGATATGAACTCGAATGATGTAAAGCAACAGGCATTAGCCGACCCATATATTTGTATCTCAGGTAAACGGGTCTCCGTTGAGGGTCACTTTCATGTTGCTAATTTAAGTTTCATTGTTCAGCTGTCAGATATCTCAGAGCGAAAATGGTAGGAGGTGCAGGGAAATGTGGTCAGTTCAGGATGCTGTTACACGCCAGGAACAACAGGTATACCGACTCTAAACTGCAGATCGAAGTCTACAAAGTCTACCTGCAGCTGAACAAGTTCCTGACCCCTCAGAGGGTGCTATTGTTTTTTCTGACAATCAGAAACTGCGAGGCGCAATATGGGCTAAGCAGTAACGGTGAAGCTATTAGATTTTCCTTCCGAATTTCGAAATTATATGACATTAATCATTAGCAATCATTAGTGATATTTCTACTCCTAGATGTGACAGTTCTCATTTCTGCCCCTAGAATGAAATTTAAAATGAACTGTCTGACTCGACTAAACGATATATCCTACAAACTTCATCACTAATTTCTTATAATGACTTGTCAATTTCAAATGAAAACTGTTTGAAAATTACTTTTCGAAGTGGATTTCTCAGAGAAATTGTTATATAAATAAAGTCATATCCCGAACTATATGAACTTGTGAAGCAACGACAAACATATGCCATTTTAATAAAACAATAATTGATGAATAGTATTGTAATGTGGTAATCAATCTAGCTACATGAAGATGGTAAAATAAATCATGATACATAAAATCCTCTCCTCCAATGATCTCCATTTCTCTTCATCGACTAATTGCTATGAGACCATATGCTGTTTTGTACTGCAAGAAGTGAGCATGCTCTGTCGATAACTAATGAAACATAGGTAAATGGGAAGACCAGTTAATAAGAATGTTATAATAAATAAACAATTTCATTACACCAGCACATCTTGTTTTAAGAGATCACCGGGAGAGGAACAGACATTTTGGCTACTAAATAAATAATCGTGCACCCTGATGATAAATAACTTCGAACAATATTTTCGGTTTCGAGAAGAGAATCCAATATAATTTCGTAAGTTCAAATTTTCGTCACTAGCCTATAAGCATCATTGGTATTCGACTTAAGCTATTTGTGAGTGATTACTTTAGTAACGGGAATATGATGAAAGTACAAGGTAAAGGCTGCCGGTCACGGTAGCCGAGCGGTCTAAGGCATGCACTGTCTTCGCTCGCTCGGAAGCCGGGATCGTGGGTTCCAATTCCACTCAGGGCATGGATGTTTGTGTGCGTTTTTCTGTGTTTGTGTACAGGTAGAGGCCTTGCGACGAGCTGATCACCCGCCCAAGGAGTCCTACCGTATGTCTAAGATCTAGTAAACCGAAATGAAACGGAGAGTTTCATGGAGGTAGGCCTAGGCCCAAATGAAAGCTGTAGCGCCAATGAAAAAAAAAAGGTAAGGGCTAATTAACAACCCTCTCCCACCGTTTCTCGAATAATTTGTTGCCATCAGTGACTATACCACAACACATACTTAATTTCTTTTGTAATATATCAGAGCTTTAGACCAAGAGATTCTGGAATATGATTTGGATATACTGCATACAACATAGGGACATTACAACAGTAACTTAAGCACTTCACGGAAAACCTGCATTTAATTATAGAAGAAAATACCTAAAAGGAGAATTAGAATTACTTCACATTGCCTTAAAGTCACCCCTGCTTTACTCATTTGTGAATTTAAATATCCCTACCAACTTGTTATTCTTAGGGTGGGGCGAGCCTGAATCCCTTGGTACTTAGGCCATAAGCAGCACACGGTAGCAGCCCCAGATAATACATGGGAAAATTGAGCATTTAGTGAAATAAGAGTTGGCGGGGAAACCGCAGTACTTAGAGAAAAATCATCCTCGTGTCACGTGAACTAACTGTTCTGGGACTTGTGTCCCTGTCGACCCTTGCTAATGATACACTTAAGACTTGAAACTGTCAGCTGGGCTGGAGAATATGGATCTCCGTAAAGCTGGTTATCGGGTGGTAAGATGGGGACTATCATGGTTTCTCCAGATACAACCCCCCACCCCCTTGCTGCTTGCTGCGCCAGTGTCTCTGATTATAGAGTTAAACAATTCTAGAGATACGAACAGACATTTTGGCTAACTACAGCACATTTTTAACATTTCCCGCACTGTATGAAGAAGAATATATCCTACAAAAATTAGTCACAAATAAAAGTGTAAAGTTGTTAAAGTCTTCTTATGTTGATTAAATTTAGTCATTAGTAGGCCACGTTATTCAAATTTGGGAATCTCCACTTCGAGAGCAATATTATGTTTCAAGACTCTCTTGCAACGTGCAGGTTGTTCTCCTTCCTCTACAACTATTTCTAACTCACACTACGTTTTAAAATCAGGAATAGGACATGAAAGCTTAAGGTCCATTGTTTTGGCATAAGAATAAATGAATTGAGAATATAGCACAAAAATGTTCAGTCTCTTCTAAAAATCAATTAAGGAATGAATGAATAAATAAATAAATAAATAACATACTCATTACATAATTTGAATATAATTGGTTTGATACAAATCCTTATGTGAAGAAATGAATGAGATTCCGCTGTTGCTCTTTGATTGAGAACCTAATTTAGTTATGTTCTACTCTAGGCAGCCTATTGGTTGCAGGGCATCTAGTGGTTAATTTTATTTATATATATGCCTATATTTTCAAATGTAATAAAAATAAAGAAATTTATTCTTTTTTCAAATATTTTATATATAAATTTCTTCTTCTGCAAAATTCTTGTGAGCTCCTCACTGGATATTAAGAATTTATTTATGCAGTTTTCTCCAGCCGTGTCGGAGAATTTTTAACAAGTCCGTCTTTACAGACATGCTTAAATACGATATATGATCTTAATGACAAAAGAGAAATTAAGGAGAAAATTGTCTATTAAGAATGTACGAAAAAATAATATTCAAGTTAATAAATTACAAACCAAAGGGCTGCAGAAAAGCAAAAAGGCCGAAAACTAATTGGCAAGAAGAGTTCTACTGAAGTCCGAAGAAGGAAGAAGACTTACTCTTCATAGCAGTGGAAGAATATATTCTTTAAAAATGCTGGAACAAACATTATGTCTTTAAAATCGTTTACTGAAGAACAACGAAGTACACAACTTATCTACTTATTACTATAAAAAAAATTCACTAGATTATATAGAGCATATTCATATTCACACCAAATTATCCCAGCTACACAGAGGCCCTGTAAATGCGTATTCATACATGAATCTAAAAACACAGACATAAATATACATAAATTTATTTTCAAATCCAAAAAATTTCGAATTTCTATATACTATTTTTAGGTGCGACAGCTCATCTTAAAATTATTATTATTAGGATGTTGAGCTGCCACACAAATAAGTAAGAATTAATTGGGATATTGTTATTATTATTAAATTCTATGTGTGTATGTATCTCGCCACATAATGGAATAACCACTCGAAATGCACCTCTTTTATTTTTCTCACCTGCTAATACTAATTTTAATTTTTCTTGGAATTATTATTAATTTATTGCCAATATATAGACTGTCTTATTTTGTATTTTGTTTTTTAGTTATATCTGTATTACTGTGTACTCGTGCTAACTTTGTAATTGGCCTCTGTGCTGTTAAGCTTGCACGTAAATAAGTACGAATTGAATTGAATTATGTTTAGATAAAATATGCAGTGTAAATATGTGCAATACACGAGAAGAGAGTGGGTTTACTCACGAGGTCTGAACTTCGAAGATGAAATATCTTGCTTCATAGGAATATCTGAACACCTGCAAGAATCAAACAAACAAGCAACACGTCAGACACTTTTAAACCATTTGAAACTAAATGAATTTATAAGGTTCCCGCAGGTAATAAGGCTGGGCAACAAATAAAATCTACACTTGATTTTGGCAATTAGATATCCATTTTATTAGACGAATATAGCACCTCTCAGCTACCCCTTCCATGTGATACTTGCAGGAATGGCCCGCACGGATTCGTGTTAAGTTATAGGCTTCAAGAAGTTGTTAGCTTAATTTTTAGTTCCTCTGATATAAGAATTTATCATAACGCACTGTTAGTTAACTTATAATTAACAATTCTGCCAGTCAGACGATGAGGCGTACGATTCAATACCCCACTTTCTGCCATCATGTCAACCTCAAAAATGAAAAGTAAGACCACTGAACCACATGGCAAAGAAACCATGCACCGCAAATCTCAGACATAAAGCAGAAATCTCTCTAAATGCAACGAAATGCAGCGGACTATAACAGTAGTGAGTGATGACACGTTAACTTCAAAGGAGCCTGCTCTACTTGGCAAGAGCCTTGGATACGTGCAACATGTCTTGAAGATTTTGTTATACATACTCGTATATATGTACGCCTGTGTCTCTTGAGAACTTATGGGTCTGAGTAGAAACTACTCAGAAAACTTTTTTCACATGTCTAAAAGTACATTGGCCGGTCACGGTAGCCGAGCGGTCTAAGGCATGCACTGTCTTCGCTCGCTCGGGAGCCGGGATCGTGGGTTCGAATCCCACTCAGGGCATGGATGTTTGTGTGTGTTTTTCTGTGTTTGTCTGCAGGTAGAGGCCTTGCGACGAGCTGATCACTCGCCCAAGGGGTCCTACCTTATGTGTAAGATCTAGAAAAACCGAAGTGAACGGAAGTTCATGGAGGTAGGCCTAGGCCCACTGGGGCTGTAGTGCCAGGGGAAAAAAAGTACATTGCCCTGTGGAAATTATTACATACCACTCCGGTTATTAAGAACAAATTTAACATCTTCATTTTGCGGATTGATGAGAGTTAATATATGCTTATTTTCTTATGTTTAGATGATTCCTGAAAGATAATATATGGACGTACGTTTTTCATGAATCCACATTCTTTATAACTACATTATTTTCATAGATTCTTTCCTTCGATGGACCTTGTTATCCGCAGGTACCTTAGTTCAAGAATCAAGTTAACAAGTTTTGACCGTCCTTAATCCTAGAAGTTTCAGTTAGTGTCACTGAAACTGGTGGGTCGTTAGGAACAGTTTTTCAGTTATTACATACTTTACAGGATATAGAACTGAACACCCTCAATATAAGCAAGCAACTTGCTACGCAGCAGAATCCGTAAGAGCTTCAGATATTTATATTTCGGTTAGGATTAAGATTCAAAATTTAAAGGGCAATAGAACACAATTTATATTGTCACGTGATTAGTTACTGGATTTATTAAACACTTACGGATCGTAACTACAAGTAACTATAGCACTATCTCTAGTTCACACACTCTAAAGTTCACTACTTACTTACTCATTGAGCTGAACCCTTCTGGAGGAGCCGCTAATTCTGCTGCTACTCAAGAATTTACCAGCATTTTATGGAACCCGAAGGTTCATTACCGTGTTCACAAGATCCCTCCACTGGTTCCTATCCTGAACCAGATCAATCCAATCCATACCAACCCATCCTAAATTCTTCATCGGTCTTTGCCTGCTTACAGTCTTCTAAAAAGGGATAGTCCTCAAGCCCTTATGGCTCAAGAACTTCACTCGCTAACAGCCGACTCAAAACGGTCTGGTAAGTCAACGTCAAAGTCAAACTCAGAGTTATGTTAAACCGATCGTCAGTCGGGCAGTCTTTCTTGGAGTCAAGCACCCATCTGCGGCCCAAGACCAGAGTTTTGTTACTGTCAGACAGACGCGACTTTGTTGATGTGCGGCGCCCTCTCTTCAATTGCTGCTGGCATTCGCCAGAGCAGTCATTCTCGGGTCGGAGTCCTGCGGGACTCATAACCATATTTTACTGCCTCAGATTGGACACTCTACCATCACGGTGGGGCAGTTCCCCATATTTATATCCCCCAGGAACAGGGTGTCCCAGTTATAGCCCCCAGTCACTGGGTTCCCTTTTCGTCTCCTCAAGTCGAGTCAAAGACAAAGTCAACGTCACATTGCGACTGACGGATCAGTCACTCAATAAATCTTGGTGTCGAGTCCCAACTGGGGCTCATTACCAGATATTTATTACTGTCTGACAGTTACGGTCTTGTTTTTGTGGGGGCGTGCTCTCTGACGAGACGGCGGGTTTGTCTTTTGTATATGCTGCTGGCTGTTGTCAGCGCAATCTTTCTCGGGTCCGAAATCCTTGAGAATCAGGATCATATTTTACTGTCTCGGATTTGAGACTTCCCTTTTTGTCGCCTCTTACGACTCACAGGGCCACGGTGGAAGTATTCGACCCCGCCTCCACGCTGTTTTTCGTCACCTAGCATCTGCTCCTCGTTATATAGCCTCGGTGCGGACCGCACAGAAGACACCGCTTTTAGCAGTTACTCAATTCTTGAGTGTTTCACAACCGTTACCTAGGAAAGGCTGTTTCTCTGGCTCCACAGTTCTTGCTTTGAGCAAATATGCCATAATATGTTCTGTACATTAACAAACGCACATTATAAGTTAAATGCGTAGGTTATATAACGCAATGAGAAGACTGGCATCGTATTACACCTTATTTATTAAAATAAATATTTACTTCATGTCAGACATTCACAAGCTACAAAACCATTACTTCTCTTTATACATCAGTCTTCAGGACTAAATACAGTTCGGAGGATGAATACAAGCGATTCTCTCACCATTACAGACTTGGCTGCAGAGTTGGGACTGAGGCTTTCATAACCGTGGAACTAAAAACTTCCTTCACTCTCATTTAAACTGCAGAGGCAGGGAAGTTTAACGTAAAGAAATCTCATGGAGCAGAGTCCGTTTTGAGTAGCTGATAATCGCTTAGCTGGTCCAAATTATATGAAGTGTGAAAGTTTCACATATTTCTCATAATCTCCATGCGTGCTACATGCCCAATCTATCATCTTGTCCTTGATTTAATCACTCTAATAATATTTGATGAAGCGTGTGAATTATAAAGTTCCATTCATTCATTCATTCATTCATTCATTCATTCACTGTTGGAGGAGGTGGGTTTAGACTTAGACCAGTTATTGGTCCATTGTGCATCCCCCGTACCTTGAGTCATGACCCATACCCTACTGGTAACGGTGCCCGTTATCATCCCCTTTCTGCCAGTGAGGTCGGCCCTCTACTGGCAGTGGTACCTGATAATTAGTCCCTTTCTGTCAGCGAGGTCTATCCTCATCTGGCAGTGGTACCTAATACTTTCCCCATCTACCGGAGGCATTGGAAACTACTTGGGCGGGAAAATTTACCTAATTTAGCTCAGAGGTCTCCTAGAGGCATGAGGTTCTTTTACGTGCAGTAAATCTACGACACGGGACCCACGGCTTAAATCCCTTAAAGTCCCTTCCGCCCTTAAAAATTCCACTACCTCCGCCGGGTTTGAACCCGCGTACCTTGAGTCATGAGGTGGGAACGTTACCCCTAGACTACGGAGGCCGCGAATTATAAAGTTTCTACCCATTATTCTGTTTCTTTCAGAGCATTAAGTTCGCATCGGAAAGACGAGAAATGCATACAAAATTTTAGTCAAAACCTGTTGTGAAGAATCTACTATGAGACCTAGGTTAAGATAGAGAGATAATATTAAAATTTTTTGCAAAGGTACAAAGTTAACTGTATTCACCTGGCCCAGTATAGGATCCAGTGTCGATTCCTTATGAAGACAGAAATAAATTCTGGATTTCCATAACAGTTGTAAAATATTTTAACCAGATTTGTAAATATCAATTTCTAAATAATAAATATGCTCCACACAATTAACCATTTAGCTATTTATGTGATTGTTAGTTACAGCTGTGTTAAGTAACGTCAGGTCTTACAGAAACTTGAATGAATAAATCTGAGATTACCTTCTTCATATCCAGTATGAGCAATATGTAACGGAGATCACTGGACACCCTGAAGTCAACAGCATTCAGCTGCCTCTGAAAAAAGAAAGAAAGAAAAGTCTTTACTTTCATCCTACGAGTCACAATACACGGCAACAACAGGACTCAGGGTAAGTTACGTAACTCTGGACCATGGAATTATTTTTTTCTTTATTTCGTTGAATATTTAACGGATTAAATACAATTTTAAAACTTGAAAATCTTAATGATATATGTATTTTGTATAACGTACACACATTTTGTACTACAAGCCAGTTCTAAGCACATTGATAAACTCGATAAAGTAGGACATGAGGATCTCGTGGTGGAGGTGGCTATGAAAGTTCTGCCTCCTCGGATATAACGCCGCGTGGTCTGGTGAAAGTTAATTTTTCACTGATATTAAGTAAAATTAAATTCGTTCGACAAAATTTGCTGTAGATTTTCAATATAAAATTTTATCGCGATACTATCAACAATACCAGAAATGAAACATGAGTTAAGGACAATCACAACATATCCATTATGCATTCATTTCACTATCTCTATGCATAGAATGCATACAAACAACCATCACTTCAATTAACATTAACAGAGGAAACATTGTAAATACAAGGAAAGACAACGGCTGAAATAGTACAGTAATGGGTTTGTTGTTAAAAATAGAAAGTACTATTGCAGAAGAGATGTGAAGTAAACTGATTAATATAAATTTCGGAACCACTTACGAAAACCCGACCAATCAAAGTGGGGCGATTGAAAATCCACAGGTGGTAAAGACGAAGTCAGGAAAAATATTTATTTTATTTTTCTAAATATTTCGCAAGGATCTTGACACCGCGAAATATTCTTCATCTTGTCACTGTATTTTAAAAACAGCTGAAAGGGAGAATCTTGGCAACAAATGACACAGAAGGAATCAGTTCTTATTGCTGAAGGTGACAGAAGTGTAAATAGTACCATTAACTGCACATCAAAAAGCCCAACAGAAGCCCGACTGAACAAGGATGGCACTGGACAAACACACGATTATATATGTTCTGTAAAAAAAATTGGAATATTTATAATAATTTTGGAACCAGTATTTTTACACATAAGAGAATCAAATCGTGAGTTAAGCTCCGAAAATGTATCAAAGTTTCTTGGGAATGGCAGCAAAAAATTAAAGTTATATCGAAAATATTATGATCAGATTAAATTAGGAGAAAGTTAGTTCTTATTCAATTCACACAAATTTATATTCTTGTAGGATTTGAGGTTCTCACAGCGGTGGTTATCAAGATTTCTATTTTCTAGGACGTAACTCCGTTTAGTCTGTTGACTGTCAATCTACGTTGCGGAGGAATATGTTGCCTCATTCTTCAGGGTTGAAAAGTAAACCAACAGCGTGAAGCAAGTAGCAAGCAGCGTTGACCATTCATCCTTGAATATGGAGGCGGCATATACTTCTGAAACGCCGTTCGACTCTCAACGGACTATTCAGCGTCATGTTTCAGAAGACGGAAATCTTTTGTGTTCTTGTCTTCTATTGAAACAGGAAAGACTGTAAAATAAGTTCTGTTAATTGAAAAATAACTCTGATATCCCGTCTTACATGCAACACCCCTTTAAAACTTTATTTAAAAGTTACTATATATGCACAGCAATTGTTTTAAACCGATTTAAAACCACATTGTAGACTATATGTTTCGACCGTCACTGGTCATCATCATGTGTTCTAAAAGTGCTTGTGGAGACTGTTGTGCTTGCATTCTAGTTTTCGATGTGTAGTCCCATTACACAGAACAGGGTGCTGAGAATACTTGGACCGAAGAGAGATGAAGTGACAGGAGGTTGGAGAAAACTGCATAGCAAGGGCTTTCACTTGTACTCTTCTCCAAGTATAATTAGAATGACCAGGTCAAGAAGGATTAAAAGGGCAGGGTATGTATCACGAATGGGGAGAAGGCGAGTGTATATAGGATTCTTGTGAAAAGCCAGATGGAAAGAGAGCACTGGGAAGACCAAGGCGTAGATGGTTGGACAACATTAAAATGGATCTTAGGGCGACAGGATGGGATGTTATGGATTCAACTGATCTGGCCCAGGATAGGGACCAGTGGAGGTGCTCTTGTGAACACGGTGATGAACCTTCGGGTTCCATAAAACGCTGGGAAGTTCTTGAGTAGCTGCACAATTGGCGGCTTATCAAGAAGGACTCAGCTCCATGAGTGAGTGATTCCCAATACACATTCGTGTTTCTATAACATGTGGTAATAATCTGTATTAGTGTTTGCATACAGTGTGTGTTAAGGGCGATTGTCAGTGTACTTACTTCGTCGTGCTGGGTGTTTCCTCCTTCTGTGTTGTGTGCTTAAACCACGAGCACCACGAGTCTTTCCTACGCAGGGTTGAGCTTGTCTTTATATTGCGTGCATGTCGCCATCTGGTGTCCAGTTCTTGCAACGTTTCGATTATCGGGTTACAGGCATCAGCGTGTCCGTCGTTCACGTCATTCATGTGCAGTCTGCTTCAACTAAGCTTATACAGTATATATGCTGCTTCAATTAAGCTTATATATATAGTATTTCTCCACTGTATTCAAATGTTTACTTTTCTGTTACCATTGTTCTGCCGTGGTGACAGGGGGCGTGGAGGTGTCCCGCCACTGCCACCAAGGCGTCGTGCTGCCACCATCTTGTTAAGTCTTAGGGAGGGGCTCAGGCAAATTTACTGTCACTGACGTATCTGCCGCCTTGGCTTGAGTTTGCAATTCTCCTGGAGGATTCGGAGGGAGGCTGGAGTCGGCAGGGAAGACGTTAACACTTGAGGGAATGCTAGGTTCAATTGACATCACAGCGCATTTCTATCCTACTCTATTCACCTATGTCGCTATATACATAATATATACACCATTTGCCAACGTTCGTCGGTTCGCATTACATGTGGGTTATTATCCTGTAGCACACACATTAGTTCTACTCCTCCCACCCTGCCATTGGGTATTCTACGCCTCTGTCTCTCTTTCTTAGTAAACCTAGTCCCTCTAGTTTTCACTTTCTCTCCCTGTGGTTTGCACTTTAATATTATCACACTTCATGTTCATGACTATACAGGTCAACTTACTTTAGCTGAGGAAACAGGCCGAAATCACCAACCAACAACTACTTATCACCATCACTCTCTCGGCAATTGCCTACGGCTGACTCTTTGACAATTAATAATAATATTTTTTTTATCGATTCCTCTAGAGTTTATGTACCCTCTTTTTGCTGACTCGCTGGGTTCCGGTGGTGTATTCACCCGCCCATTCTGACGTGATTTGGGCCGGTGTGGCCCACTCGTTGGCTGCTTATCGAAAGGGGGTTGGCTCTTTCAGGTCTACCGCCCTCTCCGACTCAGCGTTTTCCTCTTGCCATAGTTCTTTTATGACCCACTTCATATAGCTTCTTCCTCAATGTCAGCGTTATTACGCTGTCGCGCTAACCTTCTGATTACTAAGCTATAGCCT